GGGGTTGTGGGTTCAACTTGCCAAACAGAAGCCTGTAAACTATGTGAATGGAAATAAAATTTAACATGTGTTCATATTCTTCCTTCAGTATGTAAGGAGGTGTTGCACTGAGTTTAAACCTCCCCCTCTCCCCCTCCCCCCCCAAAAAAACAAGCCCCCACACCAAGCAAAAGAAAAACAAAAAAACCCCAAAGCTCCAAATAAAAAACCACATTAGAGTAGTAACAGGTTATTTTCAAAGCCACTGTGGGGGGTGGTGGAATTGTTTCAGTCTAGAAGATTAGCTGGTAACTTTGTTCTCTGAAATAAAGCTGGATCACAGATTTAGAGCACTTTGGCTTAGCTGCCTGCCAGGGTAAATTGTAAATTGTGATTCTAAGTTAATAGTTTGCTGAATTCTAAATGGCCCTTAGCTACTGTGTGTTGGGTGCACTTGTAATTATGCAGTGGAAATACTTGATAAATAGCAGGATGGTATTCTACCCTTAAAAGTGCTGGTAAGTGTAGTGGTGGTGTTAGAGGCATTGTGAGTGAAACCAAACAAGGCTGAGAAGGCAAGCAAGAGATTTGAGCTTGCCTATCTGACTAGACTATGTGAAGCCTACACTCCTTGAAGCAGAACTGTGGTGCTAGGAGTGTTCAGAATGGTTGTGGCTAGGTTTACTTTGTGATCTCTAAAACAGTTTTGCGAAAACTGCACCGGTGCAGTAAAACAAACCGCACACGTTCACCTTCTGATCTAAGCATTCAAAAAGAATAGTGAGGTGACCGCTTGGGGAAGTAAAAACTTGCATTGATTTCTCCCAGTATCTGTGCAGATGTGCAAAGGGTGGAAAAAAACCTCTCTTTCTGATCCATAGGAAATGAACTCCTGTTAAATGTCTTTGAGTATTACCTTGGAGAAGGTGGGGATTTAATAAATGTCTTGCTTGGCTTTGGAAAAAGAAAATGCTCTCTTATTCCTGATGCCTCACACTATAAAAGGCAGATCTAATTAATGACTAAAAGATGTGGAAGTGAAGGGTCTTTATGTCAGAAGTAAAGAATTCTGAAGGAAGGCTTAGTGAAATAATAGACTGTCCCTTCTTTGAAGGGGAATGTTGGTGAGGCACAGGAGGAGGAAGAAAGAAGGGATAAATGACCATTTTCTCTTTTTTTTTTTTTTAACGGATGTTAGAGTAAGTTTACGTATATATATGTGTGTGTGTGTGTATGTATATAAACACACTTGCAGAATCTTTTTTTTGTTGGTGGACATAGCTTAGTTTCCTAAATAGGGAGGAAAACCAGTGGTGATGTCTAGCCTTTACTCTGCTTACAGCATAATCAGATCCAGGAGCTATTTGGATTAGTGAAGGAAAACTAAATGTCTTACCAAAACAAGCCCTTATGGTACCTTTTACTATGCTTTATGTATGTGACGTGGCCAGAGCCAAAGCAGTGTAATTTTGATGGGTGTTTTTCCTCAAAGCAGATACCTAATGTAACTGCCCTGCCAATTCCTTAGAAGTACTAGGAACTGGGCTGTGGTGAGAATCAGCTTTTGAGACAGTCTCAGGCTTGGAATTCCCCAGTCCTTAAAGAGCTGTCTTTTCCCTGTCTGTAAAGCACATAGCGATTGGAAAGCTCATGTAGGGGCTTGTAGCAGATAAATTTACTTAGAGACTTACCAGGGTTCAACTTACCACTTGCTTACTGTGCCTGATGCTTCTTTCTCCACACTGGTTTTGTTTGACTGTTGAAATTCTAAGTGGATGAGAAACAATAGTAATTTTTGTCTGTCTGTCCAGTACCACCTTCTGTACTCTGCTGCTCATAGTTCACAGTTTGAATTTAATTGCTGATTTTACTTTCCTCCCCTCTCTACTCCCCCACTGTTCGTCTACTGTTTGAGAGCTCTAAAATGTACTTCAGTATGAAAACAAGGAAATCTTTTCTTTCAGAAGGAGCAAAGGACAGGAAGGTAAATGAAGTGAAATGTACACTTGCCTGTTTCTAGAGAGGGGATGAAAGGCTGTGTGCTTTGGTATACTTGGGGATGCTAATTTCCTTGTACTTGAAGCAGTTTGTTTAAAAACAAAACAAAATTGACAGCAAACAAAATTTGAACAAGTGTTGGGGAAGGCTTTCAAAGAAGAAAAGACAGTATTACCTTGAAATAAAGCGTAAACCTGTCTTAACTGATAATGGAAAAATCAGTGTTTCTTTTATAATGTGGAAAGCAGAACCATATTATGAAAGTGAAATAAAATACTCTTTGTATTCTTTTTACTACTCTGTTAAAGCTCTGTGAACCAATGTGGAAAAGAGCCATATAATTTTCTGCCCTTGTCCTTTGTTCCTTGTTAAAGGAAAGATCTCCTTGTTAAAGAAAAGATTTTCTTTCATTTCAAAGGAAACTTTAATTTAGGCAACAGCTGCAGTTGTGGGTGAGGGGTGAACCAGTTGTGAAATATAGTACTTAAAAGGACAGTGTGTGAACCATCAATAACAGAACGAAGTCAGAAAACTCTGTAGGTGACTCCAGGAATACTTACCAATATGTGTCTTTCTAATGTATCTTGGAAGGTGCATGTGGTTTGTGGGGGATGTTTAATATTTCCATTTCAACCCCTTAGTTTGCTGCTTTCCTGGGCATGTTCAGGAATATTTTGAGGTGGCAGCTGTAGTCCTGCTGTGCCTTAAACGAAAGGATTATTTTATCTAGATGCATACACAGAGACAAGAGGGAAGTAAAATAATAATGGTCTGTTATTGACAGTCATGAAAGATCATGCCATGTGGGAGCTTAAAAACCACTAAAACCCCAAAGGCAGTAAGATCAAAATGTGCAGCCACTCACGGCAGGCAATATGTGTTTAAATGAATTGGTTTCCCTCACCCCCTTTGTGATAGCTATTAGGCTTAGTAAAAAGCAGAGTTGCTCTGTTAGCTTAAATCCTTGCTATTGCTTAGGACAGAAGCCTGTAAAAGGTGTCTTAATGCCCAAGGTGTCCTCTCAGGACTCGGCTTGGTACTACCAGCTTTTATTCTTTTCTCCCATTTTGGCTGTATGTTGGTCTCTATTTCAGAGTGGCCCTTAGTTGCATTGTGTTTTGACCTTACATCTTTTGTGATGAGGATTGCTCTAGCTGATGCCCAGATACTGCAGCACCGGGTTGGGCTTTTGCCAGGGTTGTCTGGAGTACTCTAATAGGTGTTCGACCTCTTCTGTTGAGTCTTCCCTCACGTTTGGAAACAGTTTTCTGATAAAATAATACAGTTTGGGTAAGCAAAGATCTAGGTGCCAGATGTAAAGGCTGAAATTTCTCCTAGAGCTGAGACATCTTTTGGCCCAGTTAGTGTTGCTTCACTTCTCGGATAATAGCACTTCTGCATGAGTCTGCTGTTCTGCAAGATGATTGTCTCACTGGGAAGTTCCTTTTTTTCCTTAAATCATTGCTAGGATTAAGTTCCTGAATTTTTCTGGCCCAAGAAACAGAATTGCAATTAAATTGGTTTTCTGGCTCACTTTAACTAGAAGAATTATTACTTCAATAGAAGAATCTGGGTAAAGGCCTGGCTTAAAAAACACCAGCCCAAACAAAAAAACGCAAACCCAAAGCAGTCTGTAATCTGTAGGGCTCAAGGTGTTACACTGAACTTCATTTTAGAGTCTAGTAAGGAAGTTGGCATGAGTTGGACAGAGTATTGACTTTTGTTTGTCCTTGCATCCTTCTAGCATGCCCAGTCCAGACCCTTTCGCTAGCAGTTTCTTTACAAAGGAAAGTGAGATCTGCATATCTTGTCACTCAGGCATAAAGAAGCCTAGCCTTCCTCTTTGTTCTCATTAAATTACAAAGGTGCAGTTTTGTCTGAAAGTCCCTTTTCTTCATTGAAGCTATCCTTGCTGCTCTTTGGAAATGGTTCCAAATCAATTAGTAGTTAGTACTTAAATTGCAACTCTTGGGATTCCTCTGATGTTCAAGCACTATGTCTCTTCAGCTGGGACTGGATCCATCCAGTGAGTACTTGCTGCTGCCTACTTGCCCTCAGAAAAAACCCAACATCTAAGTCTGTAATCAATTGAAAATAAGCCATGCTATTAAAATAGTCCTGCCTGCTCCTAAGACTTATTTTTTTTTTCCCTCTGCTGTCTTGTGCAGACATAACTGTGATATACTAATAGATTAGGGAATGGGTGTTGTCCATCACCCCCACATTTTTTTTCCCCAATTCTGCAGTATATCAAAACAATTCAAGCAGTTCAATACAAAAGCTAATCAAGATACTTAATTCTACTACATGCTTGCACAAAGAAGAAGGACAGATCTTGGTTAAATTCAGAAAGGTTTCCTTGTCTGACTTCATTTTTCTCTGGAGACTTGTGTTCTTTCTTTGACCTGCTCCATGCATATTTCAATTAAACAGTTTGTCATAGGAGATACTTGAAATAGGCTACATGTACATTTAAATGAAAACAGAGATATTTATAGAACAGACATCTTAAATATGGTTTCTTAATTTAGTCTGTTTGGGAAGCAGTGCAGTGAAGGTATAACTAACTGCAGTAGCTTCAGCTGCTTTGTCTCAGCCTCTGGCCAGAGCGATGTCACCCATGCAGTTGCCTCAAAAGCTAGCTTAATTTTTTTCTTGCTCATGTTGCAGTTACCACTCACAGATGTAGTAAGACCTTGATTACTTCTACACTATGTTTCTTTGAAGCTCTCTTTTTGCAGCAGAGTATTTTCACAAATGTGTAGAGGTAGTGTTTACTCAATAACTAATACCCAGTGTCTCAGTCTTAAATTTTCCAGGGGATTGACTAGTCCTAGGACTAGTAAAAAGACAGTTAATAGGTTTGTTATGCAGATTTGTTTCATTTTTGCATTATCTGCCACTAACATAAAAATCCAAACACGTTCATGCAAAAAAAGCTGACCATCCTCAGTTTCAAATTAGCAGAGTATGAGCAGAAAACTCCCTTTTCTCTATTGCCCCCTACCATAATATAAACTTACCTTCTGAGTTCTCCTGATGGACTTGCGCTCTGTACTTAATTTTCTCCACACTTTGACAGAGTGAGATTTTGCACTTGTCCTTGCTGTCATCAAAAGTCCAGTCTCTTCTCTATAAACAGCCTTCTGAGCTAGCCTTAAGATGAGAAGGGGGGGGAAAAAAGGAGGGGGGAGGTATTTTACATTTTGACTTCAACAAAACAACTTGTTCTGTACTGAAATGTTCCACAGAACAGGCACAACATTTTTATTCTCTGTTCTACAGAGCTTAAAAAAAATGCCCAAGGGAACACGGTACGTAATGAGTAACCTGACCAGGCAGTGTCTAACTGGTTTAAAACCCCTTAATTTCCTTAACTGGTGGGAACTGAAGCTCACTGGTTAGAGTGAAGGTCATTCTCTTGGCTGGAAACTAGGCAGCTACATGGCACTGCAGTTTGGTCAGTTGAGGTGAAAGTGTCTGAGATCATAATTGTCTAGACTAGTCAACTGCATTTTCACTGGAGTTGCAATGGGCAAAGTATCCCTTAACCTGTAGATGTATGATTAATTTTACTTGATACTTTATTTATTTACTAAATACTTAATGAATGTTAATAAACGCCCTCCTTTTGGTTTCTGGAAGCAATATGTGACTTTTTTTCTTTTTTTTTTTCAGGCATACATAAAACTTTCATTACCTTGAGCAAGTTGGTTTCCTGGCCTGGTTCAGATAGATACTTCTATCAGTCTTTCAAGTGGAAGCAGCATTGGGGGTGAGGGGAGGGAGGTGGAAATCAGTGGAAAAGTAGGGAAAGGTAACCCTCAGAGTTCTTTTATTAAAGCAGATACAGGAAGGCCACGAACCTTCAACCAAGCACAGAAACAGATTATTTGTAAGAAAGGGCAAACTCTTGTATTCACTGAAAGAAGCTTCAGCTACTTGACTATCAAATAGAAAAAAAGTGGTACATCACATCTTTCCTCTGCATCACACTGAATGGACTAAAGAATACTTAAGCTTCTACCACTTTCAGTTGCAAGCATTTTGCTGCAATGTCTTCAAGAGTGAAGAATCTGCCTGGGTGGAGGTTCAGTCACTCACTCATCAGTTCAGAAATATATAGCCTTAAAAATGGAAGATGGGGATTCAAGGTTTGGAAGCATTAATGTCTTAAGAAGTTTCGCATGTCAGATTAGAAGTCCTCTTTAAGAAATGACAATGATCTCAGTATGGAAAAGCAGGCATCAGCTTGAAAACTGAGATAAAATACGCTATATGGTTAGCACAGCTAGGGCAGATCGTATCTGAAGTTGGAAAGAAAAAAGCTCATTCAACTGAATTCCTTTCTAAAAGTAGTTTGCTTTTATGAGTTGATCTTAGAGGCATTTGTACTGTTCAGTATCAAAAGCTTCTAGATTACAGCTAAAACGGTTTTGTCAATGTTGAAGTAAAACAAACTTGGTTAGAAGTGAAAGGAGATATTTCTTATTTATATTGTCTACTGCTGAGCCTGGAATGTGTCTCTTAGAAGTTCTGGATTGAGTATGATTTTAAAATGATTGGGAATGAAAAGACAGGGAGTGGTGTGAACTTCAGTTGACTTGCCTAAAACTAAGATCTGAAACTTGGTGTACTGCAGAGTTTCAAAATGTGTTTTTAGAAACCTAAATATGTTCACAGAATACAGAGTAAACAATGTATGTTTAAATAAAAGTTTGTTACCTGTTAAGGATCAGACCTCTTAAAACTATGATACTCATATTTAATATTGTCCTGTAATCACATCTATTTAGCTCTGAAAGTAGCTCTTTTTAAGAATAGGAAGTGTTTTTAAAATGACTGAAGCATTCCTGTAGGGAGACTGATAGTTCATCGTTGTTTGACAGTATAGCCCTACTAGTCAAAAATACTGACATTAAGAATGCATTGGCTACTGTTTCTTGTGCTGCCAACTGTACTGCTGTGGTTGTGCAGGGGTAAGAATGGGGGAAGTCGAGGAAAGTTTTGGTCCTGTGGAAGCTCACAGGGATGTTGATGAGTAATAAGTTATTTTGAGATTATGATGTGATTCATAGGCCAGAACTCCACCAAATTTTATTATAAACTCCTTATAGTTGCTTCCAGGTTACTCAGAGCTGCTGCCAGAGCAGGCAGTGACACCGGGGGTATGCGTGCCTGTTTGAATGCTTTGTTTTGTTCCTGTATTAGAAGAGTGAAGATTACCAAAGTTGAATGTGATTTTGCAGATACAGTTTCTCCAAAATAGAGAGGCACAACAGGCTAAAATATATAGATAAGAAACTGTTGCTTATTGTGCATAATATTTTTATCCTAAAGAGGAAAAAGGCTGTTGCTTCTGTATAGTGTAAATATTTAGGAGCTTTCTAACACTATAAGCTTGTGACTTTATTTTAAGGTAAACTTCTTTTGAGAGACATATTTCTACCTTACCACCCATTGCCATAATCAAAAAGTTCTCTGTATGGCAGGGATACTTCTTAGGACCACCCTCTGAAGCTGTGGAATTTTTTGGTACAAAATAGAAGTTCTTCACTCCTATTAAGAGTAAGTCATAAAATGAAAGGATGATGACTTTTGGTGCATTGTCTGAATTGTGCACTGTTTTCAGTGTTCGCAACATTATCCTAGGCTTTTTAGTGGATCTTTTTCTAATGGCTAGTTCTTGTACCAGATGTGTTTTATGGCCCATGTTGGATCATTCTTTTTAATGCAGTTCAAAGTCCACTGGAGCTACTCTGTGGCTTTTGAATTACTGTTGCTGTGCTTAAATTTAAAAATGAGTACTAGATAATGTTTTTCTTTCAGAATGGTAGCTCATTAAAGCAGAGAATGTAACTAATACAATTTGAATTTTTAAAAAAAGTATTTTCCATATTGAAAATAAAAGACAGTTCTAGTAATGTATCACTGTGGCATTTCTAAATGTATAGCATTGAAATGTGTATCTAGGCATGTCTATTTTTTTCATTTGGTTTTTTGAAGGCCATTTCCAAGCTGATGTCCCAGTAAAGCAAAGGGACGTTCAGCTAGCTCAAGATGTTCACCACTGCATATCCTTGTTTGGATGATAAAGGAGGCATCCCTGTTCCTAAGTGTGAGGGTAGAGACCTGTGTATGATAGATTAAACTGATCTTTTCTTCTTGCTCTTGTGCAAGAATAAAAACTGAAGAGTCAGTGCTCAGTCCACTTGTCCAGAAGAATTTCTATCTTCATACTGTGTGCTGGTCCTTTTCCTTATTACATCCATCAGTATCCTTATTGTTTGCCAGGTATACACTAAGGAACTGGGGCCTACCTTGTAGTTGCAAAACTTCCTCTTCTAGGACTTCAGTAATCTCTTCATGTCATTAGAATTGCTGCAGTTACAGTATGTGCTGTGATTCATTAATCTACTTTTTAACTAAAACCCGTCTGCTTAACTAGTCATAAGAGCTTCAGATTCTTAGGACTTCAGAAATAGCTTAATATTTTTATTTACTTGGAGAAGTACAGTGGCTAAAGTAACCACTTAAAATGAATTGTGTGCTGGGCTAGATAGTTAGTCACTGGGGTAGTTGTTAAGTTATGGTGTATATTCAGCAGCAGTGCATAGCACAAGTTTCAGTATTACCAGCAAATGGAGTGTTCTTTTTACTTGACAGTGCTGGAGAGCATCTCAGTGATTTCTAGGAAGAGTTACAACTTGTTCGTGTTCAAACTTAACTGTGTGGAAACAAGAGAACTGCAGCCTACTGTATTGCTCTTGTAAGGCTTTTAATGCTGTAAATTCTCTGGCTTTGAGTAAAAATGCAGTCATGATACTGTCAAAGAAGTTGGGTAAGCAGCTAGTGGCAGTGTCTCGTGGTTCCTGGCCTTGAAGTTCAGTTGTAGAATACAGATGTGGAGGTGATAGCAAGCAGTAATGGCTAGTCAAATGAGGACTCTATTTTATACTTGTCACCAAAGATTATCACGTACAAGTGACTAGGTGCTTCTTCCAAGTAACCTCATAAACTTTTAGGAACAAGCAGTTAGTATGGGTGTGTCAATCAAAATACAAATATACCTTGAGTGTATAGCAACATTAATATATGTATATGGAGGTTTTTTTCACTGTTGCAAGTCATGAAGACAGCTGGTCTGGCGAAATTGAAGAATCATGGGATTTAGATTACTTACACACCTGCATTGCAGAGGGTGAAGACAGACTGTTTAAGCTATTTCAGTGACATAGAGCTCTCAAATAGCCAAGAGATGAATTTTGATCTGGATGATAGTATATCAGTCAAGTTAAAAAGGTATTGGGCTCAAAATGTGCAACTGTTGCTTATGATGAGAACTAGGCTCCTCCTAGTCTAAATAGGGCCCCATGAACTAACTTTAGCTCACTGGAAGCTTTCATCTGCTCCTACTGCTTGTATTGCAGTAATGCTATTTACTCTGTTAGGATAGTGATCTGTTTCAGAGCTTATTCTGCAGGATTTACAGATTTAATTCTTGGCAGAATTATCAATTGTCCAGAATTAATTGCTATGAAAACTGAAATCAGATAAGCTAAAACTTTCAGTTCTGTTAAATTGTGTTGCATTGTTTCAAATATTTTTCCCTGCAATCTCAACTACTCTAGCTTGTTTTTAACAAGACCAATAAAATCCATCTGCAGGAAACCTACGAAACTTTTGAACTGAGTAATTTTTAAGCTAAAGTCTTCCTTTTCACAATAGATATTTGACTGGACTAAGATGAGAATTATCAAAGTTGTACCCTGTATGAAATATGGAAATAACTAAATCTGAAAGATTGATTCTAGAACAGAAAGCAGGATTAAGATGAAGGATTAGCGATGGAAAATGTAGTGAAATGGTTAAACATGTAGGTCTTGAGGGCTGGGTGAGTAACTAATAGCAGGTGATGGAATTTAGAAGATCATGGGGTAAACCAATTTAACTGCTATATATTCTGTTGCCTGGGGGCTTCTTTGGGACTATGGGGAAGGAGTTAAGATCATTGGCTTCTTTTCCACTGGAATCATATGCTCTGTCTAAATTCCTGGAATTAATGGTTTGTGGCAGCCTGGGACTGGCTCAAACTAGCATGGTAACAACCTAGGAAAAAGAAAATATAGGGACTTTAATTACTTTGTTTGTGTGACTTGACTTTGCTACTGATTCTATTAGCCTCTGGACTGCAATGTTAGAACATTTTGTTTGAGAAGATTAATCAGTTACAGCACCTTTGAAAAGAGCCAAGTGAGAATTGTGGTTAGACTGGAACAGGTAGACGCAGTGCTTGTTAAAAGCTGAAGCACTTAATGTTCATTGCAGGACATACAGTGTACCCCTGAAAAGTGTGGCTTTAATTAGGTGTGCAAAATATGGGACTTCTATTCCACTGAAGTAGATTTTCTTGACTGCAATGAGTCTGTTTGGTTTGAGCGTGACTGTAACAACAAAAAAGATCACAAAC